GTGTGTGTGTGTGTGTGTGTGTGTGTGTGTGTGTGTGTGTGTGTGTGTGTGTGTGTTCGGGAGGGAGAGGGCACCTCCTTTCTGCCCCCGCAGTCCGCAGCTGGGAGCCCCCCTTCTCCCCTTGCCACCCACCTACCGACTCAGGACAATAACATAACCCCTCCTTCCTTCCTTTTCACATGAAACCGGAGGCGGGGAATCGTTGGGAAGCCAGGGCTGGGGGCTGGGGTGGGGGTTGGGGGAAGTGGCATGCTATTTCCTTCTCCATGGCAACCCTGTCGCTGGCAGGAGGCCCCAAACCATTTGGGAGAAAGTAGCTCATCCCTTTCCAAGCTGTTTCCTTCCTCCTTTCCTCCCTTCGCCAACCCCCCCCCCCATCCTCTCCTCCTCTCCCCCAGAACTGTCGCGGGAGGGGAGGGAGGTTCTGAAAGATAAAGTGAGTAAGAGTGTGTGGGAAGGGGCGGGAGTGCGCGCTGGTCCCTTTCTGGCCTTCCCAGTTCACCCACCAACTCGAAAATGCCTGAGGTTGGTTCTCCCCAGTTTTTGCAGGGGGGACGGATAAGGAGGAGGAGTCAGCCTGGGTCAGTTTGCTGCTACGGGGGAGCTTGGGCAAAAGATGGAGTAAAAAGACTTCAGTGATGGGATCTGAATAGGGAAGGAATCTTTAAAGAGCATCAGCGCCGGAGTCGGGGCTCCGAGTTCAAATTCCACTTCGGAGGCTTACCACGGGTGTGACCCGTATGCAAGTCACTTAATCTGCCTGGACCTCACCTTCCCAGTCTGGAGGGGATTGCACTCAATGACCTCTGAGGTCACTTCCAGTTCTAGATCAAATTATCCAGTCCACCCACCTCTCTCAGTTTTACAGAAGTGGAAACTGAGTCCTCCCTTGGGAAAGCAGCTTGACTAAGATTACATAGATAATTAGTAGCAGAGCCAGGAATTTGAAATCACATCTGCCCTAGAGGGGCACAGTGGAAAGAACCCAAGACCAGGAGGAGCCAGAACATCTGGGCCTTGGTCCAGACAAAGCAGATAATCATTGCCATGACCTTGGGCAAGTCACTCAACCTCTATGTTTCTGTTTCCTCCTCTGTAAAATGGAAATACAGGGCGACCCAAAAGTCTTAAAGTGGTTTTAAGCTTTAACAAAAGCTTAAACACTCTATTGTATTGGGGCTTGTGGCTCCATAGAAATAAGGAAGGCAAACTGTATAAATGGAGGGTATCAGGCAGCAGCCTTCCCTCTGGGAATGGAAGTTATGGATTAATGGAAGGGGGTGCTGGCTTTGAATCCTGCCTCTTCCATGTACTCTGTGATCTTGGGCAAGTCACATACTGGCCTCAGTTTCCTTCATCTGTAAAATGAGGGAGCTGGACTCAGTGAGTTCTAAAGTCCCTTTCAAGCCCTCAATTTCAATACTTATGCCCTCCCTGTGAAAAATGTCTTCCTAGACTCCTCCCTGTCATATCCATTGCCTTCCCTACTCTGACACTGCCACCACCCCACTCCAGGCCCTCCTCACCCCACTTCTGGACTATGGTCGTAGCCTGCTGCTTGGTGCGTGTCTCAAGTTTCTCCTGGCTCCAGATGTCAAATGGACCTTCCCAAAGTCTAGTTCTGACCAAGTAACACCCCCCTAAGTCAATAAACCGCAGTGGCTCCCTATTATCTCCAGAATCAAATGTCAAAGCCTTTGTTTGGCTTTTAGAGCCCTTCATGATCTGGGCCCCTTCCCACCTTTGCCTTCTTACCCTTCACTCCTCAGTGTGCAATCCAGTGACGTTGTCCACCTGGACCCTCCATCTGATTCTATTTTCTCTGGCTATCCCTCACCCTGGAAGGCTCAGCCTCCTCGCCTCCACCCCCAGTTCCCCTGGCTTCTTCCAGGTGTCAGCTCTGCTCTCACCTTCTACAGGAGGCCTTTCCTGAGCAGCCTCCACACCAGTGTCTTTTCTATGATCAGCTCCAGTTTGTCCTGTCTCGAGCTTGTTTCTACACAGCTGTCAGACTGAGAGCTCCTAGAGGGCAGGAACTATCTTTTGCCTTTCTCTGTATCCTCACCACTTAGCACAGTGTCTGGCATGGAAGAGGCATTTAAAAATGCTTGCCGACTGGGCTCTACAGATGGGGAACTGAGGCATACTCTGTGCAGAGACCTAGTCTAGGCACTCGGTATTACAGAAACCAGTAAGATATGGTTCCTGATGCCCCAGGATCCTAGGTCCTAGAGCTGAAAAGAACCTTAGAAGTGACCTCAACCATGTTCTCCATTTGCCAGATAAGGCCACTGAGCCCCAGAGAGAAGAACTTATTTGCCTGCGGTAAGGGACTGAATTAGGATTGAATCTAATTCAAAATCTAGTGTTCTGCCCCTTCTACCACAGTAGTGCGCTTGTGTGTGTGTGTCTGAGAGTGTATGTGTGTGTCTGTCTGAGAGTGTATGTGCATGTGTGTGTGTGTGTGTCTGAGAGTGTATGTGCTTTTGTGTGTATATGTGTGTGTGTGAGTGTATGTGCATGTGTGTGTGTCTGAGAGTGTGTGTGAGTATATGTGTGCGAGTGTGAGTGTGTGCATGTGTGTGTGAGTGTGTATATGTGCGTGTGTCTGAGAGTGTATGTGCATGTGTGTGTGTCTGAGAGTGTATGTGCATTTGTGTGAGTGTGTGTGTCAGAGTGTATGTGCTTGTGTGTGTGAGAGAGTATATGTGCTTGTGCTTGTGTGTGTGTGTGTCTGAGAGTGTGTGTGTGTGTGTGTGTGTGTGAGAATGTGTGTGCCTGTGATCATGTCATTTTTTAAATAGCATTTTCAGGGGGCAGAGGGAGCTGGAGAATCACAGAGGTGGGACGGATGCCAGTTACTTTCCTCATCACACCTTTCTGGCCCCTAGGATGAAACAGGAGCATACCTCATAGACCGGGATCCCACCTACTTTGGCCCGATCTTGAATTTCCTTCGTCATGGCAAGCTCGTTTTGGACAAGGATATGGCTGAAGAGGGTATGTTTCCAGCAGCCCCGAATTATTTCCTGTTTCCGGTTTCTTCCCATAAATACTTGCTCTTGGGCCACTGCTGTATTGATTGGCCTTGGGACCCTAGAGCTATAACTAGGAGTTTTTGTACCCCTGGGTGCATATACCTCACCTTGGACTAGTGGAATGAAAGGCAGTTTTGACTTGAATGGAGAATGGGACATTGCCCTGTGGGGGACAATGAGAGACCCCAGAAAACTACCATGGGGCTCCCACTGGGGAAGGAGGAGGGGAGCCACTCACCAGAGGTCCCCTAAATTTGGTATCCGCTCACCCCACTGAATGCTGGAACCTTTGGCAGCCCAGGTTACCCATCATCCCCTAGAATGGTCAAGAGTTCAAATCCCGGTATTGTTACCCTGGGCAAGCCTTTCGTGTCTGATATCAGGTCCTAACTCTAGAGCTCCAGGGGACTTGGATCTCACAGGCCAAACCCCTCCTTTTACTGGTCAGGAAACGGAAGCTTATAGAGGTGAATTGGTTTGACTGATGTCACACGGATAGGAAGCAGCATTGGTGAGATTTGAACCCAGGTCCTCTGACACCCCTCACCTGCCCATCCTCATCTGTCAAAAGTGATCCTGAAAGTCCTTCCAGCTTTCAATCCATGGGAGCCTGGGGGACTGGGAGGAAGCCTGGGCCTGCCCTTGTTCTCCACTTCCGTCCCAGAAGGAGCGGCTGCTAAGCACCATGCCCCAGATGAAGAAGCAGCCCAGGGCCCAGGAGCTCCCAGGAGCCCCAGGGCCCCGTGGCCTGGCACTGCCTGGGGAATGAGAGGCCAGCCACAAGGAGAGATGTCCAAGAGGCCTGGGAGCTTCTCCGTGGCAGATGGCTTCTCCCCGCTCCCTGCTTTGCCAGCTTCCTGGGAAGGCAGGGGATGGAGCTGGAACCCTCCCAAGGGGCTGACCTGGGTAGAGGAATAGTCGGGGATGGGCGTGGTGAAAGATTCTTTTCCCTCCAATTTCTCTGTTGGTTTAGGGATTGATTTGAATCCTGGGGTGGGGCAGTGATTGACACCCTGCCTACCTTAGTCATTATTTGGCTAAATCTGTCCCTCCCTGACTATATATCATATTCCTTAAGGAAGGTAGTTACGTGCTCTACACACAGCAGACAATGCTGTTTTGGGGTAGAATTGGACCATGGCTGTCTAACTGGAATGGCCTCAGAGGTCCTCAAGGCCTGTTTTGAAAGAGGAGGGATATGGGGCCCAGGGAAATGAGTGACTTATCCAAGGTCAGTCTCCCGTGATCTTAAGACTCAGACAACTTCCAGATTCTCTAGTTTAGCTTCTTTTGACAGATGAGGAAACTGAGTCCCAGAGATGAGATTTTTTTTAGGATTTAGAACAGGGATTTTTACCTTTTATGGACCCCTTTGGTAGTCTCAGGAAACCCACAGACCCCCTCAGAGAATAATGCATTTAAATAATTGAATGAAATGCTGCATTTAAGTTAGAAGTTAGTGGAAATGAAGATGCAATGTTGTTTTTTTTTTTTTCTCCAACTAGGTTCACAGGCCCTCAGAAATCTATCTATGGAGTCCCACATAAAACCCCTGATTTAAAAGTAGTGAGAACTTTAGAGAGCATATAGTCCAACTCCCTAATTTTAGAGATGGGGAAACTGAGGCATAGGAAGATAAGTGACTTGCCCACAGTCACACATAGTAAGAGCTAGCATTCATATAGCCCTTTGATATTTCCAAAGCACTTGATACATATTTTTGCATCTGAGCTTTACAACAACTCTATGAGATAGGTCCTATTACTATCCTCTTTTACAGATGAGGAAACTGAGGCAGACAGAGGTTAAGTGACTTATCCAGGATCATTCAGCTCTTAAGTGTCTCACATCTTCCTGACTCCGAGGCCAGCACCCTATCCATTGTGCCACCTAGCTGCTTCGTAGTAAGCAGCAGAGGCAGATTTGAACACCAGGATTTTGACTACAAATACAGTGTTCTTCCGCTACTTCTTTCCTGGATTTAGAGGCACAGAACCTGGGTTCAGATCCTGACTTTGCTACTTACTAACCGTATGACCTTGAGCAAGTCACTTATCTTCCCTGGGCCTCAGTTTCCTCATTTGTAAAGTAAAGGGGTTGGACTTGATGTCTTCTTCAGGACCTTCCAACTCTAAGTCTATGAGCCTATAAGCTTGTCTCCTTTGTGAGCTACAGAACCCAGAATAGCTCCTGAACATTCTCTCAGAGGTATTCAGTGTTCCATATTCGACTTATTCTGTATGCATCATTTTTATTCTGCAAGCTCCTCCATTGTCTGAAATCTGAATGGTCCCCTTTAAGTTACTTCTTAGTAAGACAAAATCCCCTAAAGATCAGAGCCATACAAACATGGAGGGGGTTTCTGAGAAACGTAACAAAATCCCTTTTTCCCCTTGGTCTTCAGTTTCCTCATCTGTAAAATGAGAGTGTTGGACTAGAGGACCTCTGAGGTCTCTTTCAACTCTATGACCCTATGAGGTCTCTTTCCCCTCTCCGGGCCTCAGTTTCTCCATCTGTAAAATAAGAAGATTAGACTAGTTGGTCCCCTGAGGTCCCTTCCACCTCCAGATCTGGTATCTTATGATGATTGCTTCTTTGCCCTCAGTGGCTTATTAGCGCACGTGCACGCGCACATGCACACACACACACACACACACACACACACACACACACACTCCTGTGAGTTAGTCTTGGGACCCTAGGCACTAATCCCAGAGGGAAGAAATGCAAATGATATCAGGCTGAGCCAACCCCTGTTTACACCCTCTGGGCTCCTGGGGGCAGTTGCCTGGGGCGGTCCCTAGCCTCCCCATCTCAGCCTAGAGGGAACCAGCTGAGTCTCCTCTGTGAGGCAGGGAAGGCTGCTGAGCCACACCCCAGGGTGAAGAAGGCTCTGAATGGGGCTCCAGTGCCCAGCCTCCTTTATCCTAGGGTAGGAGGTGGAAAGAGTCCTTATCTCTTATCACTGGAGAGCTTTTAAGGGGGAGCAGGTGACCACTTGTCAAAGACTTTATAAGAAGGATTCCTGTTTGAACTGGATGAACTTTTAGTGCTAAGATTCTGTATCTGGGCATTGCAACTTACTAGCTGAAAAACCTCCCATTTTCCCCTTCATTTGTTTGACTCTCAGTTTCCTTATCTGCAAAATGGGGATAACTCTTGCACTGCCAACCTCATGGCGGGGTTTAGTTAAGAAGGCATCACAGAAATGTGAACCATCCCAGGATCTCAGAAGCTGGAGCTGGAAAAGACCTCAGAGAGACCATCACATCTACCCCTCTCCTTTTACAAAGGAGGAAACTGAGTCTCACAGAGGAGAAATAACTTACACAAAGCCACACAGCTAGTAAACGTTAGATGTGGGATTTGAACCCAGACCTCTCTGCCTATAGGGTAAGGGTTCTTAACCTGGGGTCTGTGAACTTTTTTTTTTAATATTTGAATTAAATATTTGAATATTCTGATATACTTGGTTTCCTTTGTAATCCTATGTATTTTATTTTCTGCATTTAAAAAAAAATGATTCCAGACTGCTTTGATTCCCTTGGGAAGGTGAATTGGGGCAGCAGTCTCTGATCACTGTCATCTCTTCTTCCAGGGGTCTTGGAGGAAGCTGAATTCTATAACATTGGCCCCTTGATTAGAATCATCAAAGACAGACTAGAGGAAAAGGACTACACGGTGACTCAGGTAGGACTAGGGGAGAGACAGAGGGAAAGGGGGAGGGAACTAAAGTAAGTGTGTGTGTGTGTGTGTGTGTGTGTGTGTGTGTGTGTGCATGCACGCGTGTGCATGTGTGTGTGTGTGTGTGTGTGTGTGTGAGAGAGAGCGAGCTTGTGGGTCTGTGTTATTCCTATCAAAATGTAGAAGTCATCTGTCCTTGGGATGAAAAGTCAGCCTTTAGTGGGCTTTGGGAGGTCCTTGGCATATCCAGAGGAGCCATGTTCCCAGAAAACAGAAGGCCCTTGGCTTGGGAGCCTGGAGATCAGGTGCAAATCTAGTCCTGATTAGACTTTCACCAGATGGATGTGTATTAAAACCAAGTCCCTGCTCTTCTCTGAGCTTTATTCCCTACAGGCGAAGCTTGAGTCTATCAATCAATCAATAAACATTTAGTAAGGGCCTACTGTGTGCTAGGCACTATGGGGACTAAAAGAGGCAAAAGACAGCCCCTGCCCTCCAGGAATTTACAAAGTGTTGGGGAAACATTAATCAATTAACAAACATTTATTAAGCACCTACTGTGTGCCAGGTACCGTGAACACCAAAAGAGGCAAAAGACAGTCCCTGCCCTCAAGGAACTTAAAAACTAATGGGGAGACAATAATCAATCAATAAACATTTATTAAGTACCTACTGTGTGCCAGGCACTGTGTTAAGTGCTGGGGATACGAATAGTGCCAAAAGACAGTCCGTGCCTTCAAGAAGTTTATAATCGAATGAGGGAGACAGCGGTCAATCAATGGACATTTATTAAGTGCCTGTTGTATTCCAGGCACTGAGCTAAGCACTAGAGATACAGAAAAAGGCAAAAGACAGTCCCTGCCCTCAAGGAGCTTACAATCTAATGGGGGAGACAACGTGCATATAAATATATACAGAACACACAATATGCAGGATAAATAAGAAATACTTGTAGAGGGAAGGCACCGGGTTAAGAGAAGTTGCTGTGACAACAGCTCTCTCTCCTTACTTCACAGGCAACATGCTATGAATATGGGAATAAAATGGTAAATCCTTTCACTCTGGGCTGAGCATTGAGGATAAGAAGACAAAAATTCCTGCCTATCCCAGATGGGGCCACGTGCTTTGGACGTAAAGAGAGCACAGTCTAGACTTGGCCATGGGAGATCTGGGTTTGAGTTCTCAATCTGCTCCTAGAAAGCGGGGTGACCTGAGGCACCTCACTTCTCTTGGGCCTCAATTCCCTTGCCTGCCAAGTGGGGGAGTTGGATGACTTCTGACATCCTTTCCAGGTCTAGAGCCATAATCCCATGGATGAGCTTTGGCAAGTTGATTAACGTCCCTGGGCCTCAGTTTCCTCATCTGTCAACTGGAGGGGCTTGACTGGAATGATCTCTAGCTCTAACAATCTATGACTATGAATCTAGAATATAATTATTACAGTATTATTCTCTGAGTGGAGGGGGAAAGCTATGAAGAGATGTCCTGCCTCAGTAAAATATGTGCTAGCATGGACGTCTGAGAATTCTGGCTGTGTGACCTCAGCCAAGTCATTCTCTGGCCTCAGTTTCCTCATCTATAAAATGGAGGGGCTAGATCGGATGGTCTGTTAGATCCAGGATGGCTCCTGGGAGGAAAGAAATGAGCCCAAATCTCTCTGCAGGAGAGATGGAGGTTGAGAGAAATTGGGAGCAGCCTCTGAGCCCCAAGGTTTGATTTGGAAGGCAGAAGAGTCACTGGAGAAAGGCATTATTCTTCTTTGGGAAGACTATTGTAAAATGCTCTTGGACCAACTTCTGAAACATTGGATTGGGAGTCAGGAGATCAAAGCTCACATCCGGGCTCAGCCAGGACCTTGGGCTCCGTCCTTGGGCAAGTCACTGCCCTGTCTGGACCTCAGCTTCCTCATCTGGAAAATGGGAACAATGAACCTCCTACTACACAGAATTATTACAATAACTGAGTGTTGATGATGGCACTAATAACAGCTGACATCTACTTAGAGCTATGAGGTTTGCAAAGTGCTTTTACATATATAATCTCACTTGCGCCTCATAACACATCTGTAGTGCAGGTATTTTTTTTTTTTGTGAGGCATTTGGAGTTATGTGACTTGCCCAGAGTCACACAAGCTAGTTAGTGTTATGTGTCTGAGGCCGGATTTGAACTCAGGTCCTCCTGACTCCAGGGCTGGTGCTCTATCCACTACACCACCTTGCTGCCCTGGTGCAGGTATTTTGACTGTATTTTATAGGTTTATGGGAGCATAAACTGGGAGCCAGAAAGGCCCTCAGAGGCCATATAGTCCAATCCCCTTATTTTACAGATGAGGAAACTGAGGCTCAGAGGTCAATGACTTGCCCAAGGCCACACAGGTAATGCGTGGGATTTGAACCCTCTCCAAATCCACCATTTTTTCCTTTGCATTGTGCTGTCTTACTCCATGCTCTCCTTTCCCAAGGCAAGAGTTGCCAGTCTCTATCTCTATGCCATCCCACATGTCATTCACACCTGCTTCTTCTCTCCCCCAGGTGCCTCCTAAGCACGTGTACCGTGTCCTGCAATGTCAAGAGGAAGAGCTCACTCAGATGGTCTCCACCATGTCTGATGGTTGGAGGTTTGAGCAGGTACAGCAGGGCTGGGGAGGGGCAGGAGGAGAAATGGAGGTAGGTGATGGGAGGGGCATGGGTTCTTAGGAATGAACAGAGAGGCTTGGAGCTGCCCTCACAGAGCTTACAGCTGACTTGGGGAATATGAGAGAAAGATGGATGACATGAATGATGGATGAATGGCCAGATGGATGGATGGATGAACAGCCAGATGGATGGATGGATGAACGGGCCAGATGGATGGATGGATGAACGGCTAGATGGATGGATGGATGAATGGATGAACAGCTAGATGGATGGATGGATGAACGGCTAGATGGATGGATGGATGAACGGCTAGATGG